TATTTTCACCCTTCTAATGGTTTTGGTGTGCATGGGACTCAGTTCCAGCTATGCTTTAGGACTGTGCACTACTTTTCCAGTAAATGCACTTTTCTTTGAACCTACATTGGTTTCAATGAGAGTTGCTTTCATTGGGAACTGAGTACCGCAGTTCTACCAGCAACACTGCTCTGTTCTTGATTCATTCCTGGTATCCTTATAGAAAATAAGAATCGGAGCTACTTCATTTTTAAAGATTTCCTCTCATGCATCTGCTTTGTTACTTTGCATCTGAGGATAACCCTTACTTTATCACCTGTCCTGTCAGGTTCAGCCCAAGAAACTCAGCGGGACAATTCAGGAACCGTTCAGTTACTTTATTAACTTACACCTACTAGACAAAATCTCACCAGACTAACTCTAACCCCCAACAACAACAGCTAAACACTCCGAATTCCTTAGGGAGGCGCCAGTCTCCTTCTCTTCACTTTCACACACTCTGGTTGAGGGCTGAGGAGATGTGTGGGATTCCTCCTCCTCCCCATGATCTTGGACCTCTGTGCCATGATCCTCCTCACTCATGACTTCCATCACATGTCCTTTATTTTCACTGGATCACTGCGGTTTTCGGTAGTTTGAGATGTAATATGAATCATTCTCTTTCTTATTTACTTTGTAGTTAAATTTATTTATTTATTTTTTAGAAAAATCCACTTCTTCCAGATAAAGCTCTCTCTCCATCCTTTGGGGAGCCTCTTTGTCATGAGCACTTCCACTTGTTTTTCCTATTTTCTACCTCCCAAAGGTTTTGTCTGCACTATAGTACAAATTGGTAGAATGCAAATTTATGAGGTTCGTCTCAGAGCCGGGAATAAACACAGCAGGCAGTTGCTTGAAAGGAGAGTGAAAACTTTATTTCCGAGACCCAGATACACAACACAGTCAGCTGCTTAAGCTGTGAGGTGGCATCAGGGCTTCCCAGGAATCCCCTTTTATAGGGAAGATCCTTTAAAGGTATGAAGGGAAACCCAACCTCTTGGATTTCTTAGAAAAGGTAATTAGCCGGGATTGCAGGAGAGGGGGCATTCGGGTAAGGTGAAATTGACTAGATCTTTAGAACGGACCTTCTAAGGTCAGGCACTCCATTGAGCTGGGGTTTCCTGTGTTTGCCTTATCAGTTATTGTCTAATGACAATGTAGATCTCTTTGGGAAGAAATCTTTTTATGGTTTGATTTTTTGGATTTAAGCAATGTTGGCCCTTCCTGCCAGATCTTTAGTGATTTAATTTTGGGCTAGGGTGGAGGACTCTTGATTCTTTCTGTTATATCTTAAACTATTTAGATGAGCCCATTCTTACTATCATTGAGCCATATTCTTTGATTGCTGTTTAAAGTAGACAATGGTAGGGTCAGGCAAATGGGAAGCTTTGATTTCCTGCTGACATGGGGGGAGGGGGAAGAATTTGATTTCCTTCTAAAAAACATAAAAACAAACCAAGAAAATCCACCAGCGCCCCAAATGCAAAAATCCAGGTATTAGAGGAAAGCAAAAATGTTCACTCAGAGAAAAAGAGAAAGCAACAATGTCTCTTCCATTCCTCCTGCATAATTTTCTTTGTGAATAGAAGTAGAACTTGAAGCAGAAAGAAGACAAGCAAGGATGGTGTAAGCATGTAATTCTATTCATGGAATTTGGCTTGTTTGTCTTTCAAAGATCCTTTTCCCTCTATAGTCATCCTCATTGGCCTCAATTGATCCATGATAAGCTATTGCCAATACAATGCCTTGTTGCCCTTCCCATCCCCTTGTATCTTCTTATTTGCACAAGTGGATAATTAGGGACTGTCTCCTCTCCCCTATCCCTCTTTAGTCTTTTCTTTCCCTCAACCTACATTTTTCGTTTTCAATGCCAACTTGTCCTGCTCACCAGCTTAAAAGTGCCCTGGGGAAAATTCTCCTATATTATCTGTGAAATGGACAAATCCAAAAATGTGGATGAATCAACCTGGAAAGCAGCTCTAAACAAAGGAGGTGTTCTGTTTGGGTTTCAGAATTTAAGTGTTTGTGTGTTCTTTTCAGAAGAGTAACTTTTTCCAATTTTTCTGTATGATTCTTCACAGTTTCAGTGTACCAGTTGAAGCTGTGGTTCATGGAAGAACTCACAGAGCTGAGGAACAGGCAGTTTTTGCTTGGCTTCAGATTCACTTCCTCTCACTGTGTGTCTAGCACAGTAATAGTGTCCCGTGTCCTCGGG